AACGTTACTAGCTTTATGTAGTTCCCGTGATAACAACCTTTGTTATAATTGGCATTCTAATAATTTTATACATCGATGAACTAAGCATGACAAACAGTGCTTTCAAATTACTTAAAATGATGCTATTTGAGGACATTGTTAGATGATTTGGTTTCCCCAAAAGTATTCTCAAACTGCTGCTCTAGCATATTTCTATATGAACTGTGGAGAATCACAACAGTAATATATATTGTTTTATTTGAAGGCCTGGACTGTCGGCGATAACACTCGGACAATAGAGTGATAAGTTCTTTCTCGTTGTCGGAACGACAGTTTGAGGTTACTGTTTCAACATTCTAAAACAAACACACTGCGAAATGGCTATGAAGAACACCCGCCCCTCCCAAAAAGTGACATAAATCTGAATTCCATGTTGTTTACGAGCCTAGTCCACATTTAAAGGCCTGGCCACAGGTTAACTGAGAAACGACACAAACACTGAGCTGCAAGACACAAGAAATTGCTGTTGTGCAAGGCGAAATTTACATAAAACACGCGAATGCCTTGTTAAAATTTGTAACCATGTCGCTGGTTTATCGAAAAAAAATAAACAGTATATATTAGTTGAATTTCTTTTAGCTAGTTTGACACAGCTTGGTTCAAAATAATCATTTTCGCCTCATTTAAAGTCGGTTACAACGAAGGGACTAGCGGGGAATGCAGATGTAAATGAAATCAAGAAATCAAGGTGCGGGTTAGGGAGCCCCTTTTTTACAACAATTAAGATTTCTTCCACCGCCGATTGTTCAACGGGAATAGCTCATCCTCCAACTGTTTTCACTATCCTCTTCGAAAATGTGTTTTGTACTTCAGTACACTGGAATCGTTAGACTAGCATGTCCTCATAGGTCACATAGATATGTCCCAGAGAAGCAGCTGGCGAAATCTGAGGACAGTTCAATTGTCGTTAAGTGCAAATGTAAAATGCCAAAATAAATCGACGAAGTTAATCAATCAATAGGATTCCTGCTTTGCTTAAATACTGATTGATAATAAAGTTTGAAGGAAAAATATCTTCGGACACCATTCTTTTGAAAACGTGGTAGCGTTTCGCTCAATATCATCTAAAGGCCTGATATTAAGTCTTCCTTTATATACTTGCGCAAAATGTACGGATTATAATCATTCTACACAATGTATATGGACATAAACGACCCGGAAATTGCCATTTGTCATGTGTGTAATTTCAGCTGAACGAGGACATGTGACGTGTTTAGACACAATAGTTATTAAACTTTCTGTCGCGTCAAACTCAAATCCTACATTTTAGTTATTCTACTGCTCTGGCAATCTCTGAAACTGCGGAGCTGTGTTTTGATGAGAATATGCTGCGTCTCATCAGCCAGCTCGGTGAATAAGGTACAATGCGATTGCAATCACCGGGGGTGTTTTAACAACAACCCCTGCCGAATGTCCAGCATGCTGAGCTTCGCCACCTTCATCCCGTAAGATTCAGGAAAGATTCACTGGAAACACCATGAAAATCTGAAGTCTACGGCTAGATGGACTCATGGGTAAGTTTTACCAAACCGGCTCTGATGTGCATTATAAATTTCATCAGCCGTTAATGGACATTTACAAGATCGTGAAAAAAAGACATTATTTGATTTCTTCCTGAGGATTTGATGCTAAGGAAGGGAGACCATTATTACAAGCTCGTTTAACTATCCTTTTGACAACTGTGATCCCAAGCAAATACTAAACAAAAAATTCATTACAGAGATTAGTTCGATTGAGAATTGCACTGGTCACATGCTCTGCACCGCTGCTGTCACCCATCTAAGTGTAAGATGGTGCACTTTTGATGTTAAAAGTGCAGGTAGGGTCCAGTGCTTTCGCAAGATGTTGCCCGCAGCAAGTCTCCAGTGAAATATAGCTTCACATTCGTTTTTTTGTCGGTCTTCGATTAAGCAAAACCAGCGGGATGGAAGATAGTTAAGAGGTCGGTGATCAGAGTAATTGATTGTATTGGTCGAGAAACATCAGAGAGTGCTTTAAAGTGACTAACTTTGCCAAGATGCTCAGTTGTTCTGTTATGCCAAATCGGCTCCAGTCACAATGGGTATAATTAATTATCGCAGGCTCATTGACGGACTGTTTTTAAACCATTTCACCACGTTTAAAACAAATGTTTCGACGCTTTTCAGTCGCATCGATCTCTAAATATAGGTAAAAATATGGGAATAATTATATATATTATATACATATATATAATATGTCAGTAATGCGCTGGCGAGAAATGTAAAAGGGAAACTTCCGTTTCCTGTCAATCCAGGGGAAAGATGAGGGTCTTTGAGCTGGGGGTGGATGAGCTACCTCGGCGCCAGCAGTAGATGGCACAATATACATGAAGCCCAGCTTCAGGCGGCGGGGAGAGAGGGAGCATTGCCATCAGTTGTGTCAGAGTTAGCTGCTTTTATTGGATTTCTTATTGACCTTTCTGGCTTTGTCATAACGTTTTTGAATTGTTTCGTTTCAATTATAGGTAGTGAATAAAATGATTAACCGTAGAGATGAGCACAACAGGATGGAATAACGATCTTTTGCGGCTAATGCAGTAGGTTCTATGAAGACGAGGTTAATGTCTTGGTCATTAGGGTTCACAATTCTATGAATGTGCTGCTCCCCATATATTGTAAACCCAGGGACGATACCCGATGGGTTACAATTCTTTGGTTAAGCTCTCTCACATTGCGCTGGCCAGGAGAAATGCATGAAGTTCCACTTTTATCCGTGTGGTGGGAAAAGGTTTTTCTAAACCATTGTCACAGTACTAAGCGGGTTAACTACACACGCGAGCATGTCAGAGGATTCCACAGACTGGATTTAGGATTATATCTGGAAAAAGAGGTCGTAGAATACCATTAAACGGTCTATATAAATTATCGTGCAATTTATTGGTTAAACAGCAAAGCAATTGTTTTTGGTATGACTCTTTAAGTTTTTTACATGGCAGCTTGATGATGTTTTGGACAGTACAAATACCTAAATGCCACGAGAGGATTCGTTACAGTGAACGCACTCATGAAAATCCTAACTGTCAAGTCTAAATCATCGCCTCTCCTCAAAGCAGAAGGAAATTAGTTATCAGTAGCGCCTGTATTAGCACAAGGTTGACTACGGATAAACACAGCACATTATGAATTAGCGAGACGCAGTCTATAAAAAGAGAGCGGGACAAAAAAATTCAGACAGGTAACCCCAAAGTCAGGGCTTGAGTGGTTCTAAAGTGTGAACCCTCCATTACAAGCCTTCGCTTCTTCCTCACACAAAATCCGTCGAAGTCAAATCTCTTCGACAGTGACTGATGTCTAGGTCAACAATTTTGCAGTCTCAAAACCGAAAGAACTGCGGATGCTGTGAATCAGGAACATAAACAAAGCTGCTGGAAAAGCTCAGCAGGTCTGGCAGCATCTGTGAAGGAAAAAACAGAGTTAACCGTTCTGAGGAAGGGCCACTGGACCCGAAACGTTAACTCTGTTTTTTCCCTTCACAGATGCTGCCAGACCTGCTGAGCTTTTCCAGCAACTTTGCAGTTTATTTCGACGCTTTCCAACCGAGCAAAAGAACAAGAGAAAAAATTGTTTTGAGGGGGTGTGCGGTGGGAGAGGTAAACAGTGAAGCTCCCTGGCTGATGTTCCAGAATCCAATGATAGTCGGTCCCTTTTCGTTTACTCGATTGAGCCTGGTGCAAAGCTTTTCCTCTGAAGAAATCGGGAGATATTTGTGCATTTGGGGGAGAGGGGGCACACTTCAATTGAAGACATTGTCTGCGTTACTATGTCTCCAGGCTGTTTGGTCACAGCCTGTCACGAATCCCATTGACATGGTTCATAATTTATTGAAACGGGTACCTACCGCGATCGACGGGGTGTTTGGTTAAAGTCCGGCTGTTAGGTGGGCTGCACATTGCGACGATGCACGGTTTCGAGTCTGACTGAGGGGTTAAACAAAAATCTTTGATGTTACAAGGTCTGCACTGCACGGGCAACACACGGGTTCACCAAACTCTCAGTAACTTGGACCGCAGAATATCGTGGCGTGTGTCATTCTGCATCTGTTAGGCTGGGGGAAGGAAGCACAATTTAAAATCAAAATAATTCGTAGAGATCTACCGGAACGAGTGGCTATTTTCATATGCGTGCTTTGTTTCAATCGAAACACTCTTTTTTTTAAAAAAAAAGCATGTTAACTTTTACAGACTATCCAAAATGAGATTTATATTTCTGCAGATCGAATTAGTGTCCAGCGTTATAATTTGAACAGTATAAGAAATTTGGAGAGCCTCGGTACGAGGTCGAGTATATAAAGAGCGGGTCTAAGCAGGGTAGACATCCTGATAAACTGTATGTGACCTGGTAAATGGGGGTAAAATTGTCGGGAAATTATTTTAGCTGCTTTTACTCTGGGGAGCTGTACTCTATATTGAAAAAAAAACCCGAAAGAACTGCGGAAGCTGTAAATTAGGAACAAAAACAGAAGTTGCTGGAAAAGCTCAGCTGGTTTGGCAGCATCGGTGAAGAAAAAATCAGACTTAACGTTTCCGGTTCGGTGACCGTTGTGAGGAAGGGTCCCCGGACCCAAAACATGAACTGATTTTTTTCTTCACAGATGCTGCCAAACCTGCTGAGCTTTTCCAGCAACTTCTGTTTTTGTGAGCTGTACTCTATGTTGCTGAACAGGTAGGAAAATAAATCTGGGTGCATTCTTCCATCGGTTTGAAACTAACCGTCTCTGTACTCAAATCTCTATTGTATTAATGCCCCAGTACTCAAGTCTGTATATTCTTAAATCCCAGTACTAGCACGCTGTATGTTCTTTGCGTCCCAGTTCCAGCTCTCTATTTTTTTATGTCCTAATACTAGTTCTCTGCATATTCTTATGTCCCAGTACAAGGTTTCTGATTATTCTGGATTTTTCTTTATTCTCTGTTTTGTTGTTGCTTGTTGGTTTGTTCCACGATGTTTTTTGCACGAAGTGCAGCAAGCCAGATCTGTCAGAGGCCTGGTCACCGCCGGGCTGGTAAACTTCGCTCTGAAATGTTGAGTAGGTGACTGGATCGGTGCGAATTTGTGAAGGAACGGGCAAATCGAAAGGGCTGGCCGAGGAGCCCAGAGATGGAGAGAGAACGAAAGACGGAATTGAGTGGGAGATCGTAACCGGAGAGAGACGGAGGGGGGAATTTGTGGCGAACTGGATTTCCTCATTTTTGTATTTCACTCTGATCGATAACCTTGATTCAACTGACAGCAATAGCGACAGCAATTGGACAGTCAGAATTATCTAATGCTTCGAATCTAGCTTCTAGCTTCAGATAACTAACTTCTGGGAGTGTGGGTGAAGGCGGTTGCGCAGGAATTTAAACAGAAATAAATATGATGGTTTTAAGAAAATGAGGGTACGAGAGTGAAGGACAGAGAATAAAATCTCTAAAACATTAAACCCCGAAATCAAACCTAGCCAGGCCAGCAGCACGTTATAATTATTTACTTGTATCATTTCTCTCGAGCTTCATTTTAACTTGAAACACCATCTGAATACTCGTTCTGAGCATTTTTTTTTAAAAGGTAACCATTTAAGATTGATGTGAAATTTCTGAAATGAGTTCATGGGTGATTATTGCTATCAAAATCGACAAAAACTCCCTTACGCAACAAACTTTATTGGAACTGATCAACATTTGATGTAAAAACTGCCCTCAAAAAGACCTTTAACTACAATGTACATGCAAAATGACTACAGATAAAGATTTCACTCTGATAATGTGGCATTTGAAGTTTCCTATACAAAAATAAATATTTTAAATGGTTGGTTACAGAGTTAATGGAGAGAGAGAGAGACTCAGAGAATGGGGATGGGGAGGTTGGTGGTCATCAGTTTAAATGGATTACTCTCGGAATGAAGAAAGGTTCGGAGAGATTTCCTTTGGCGGAAAGTTGACACGAAATGACTGGCAGAGACCTCGCGTTTTTTTAAATCGGACATGTACACATCTTTACAGCCGAGGAATATGCCAGGTGATTGGAGGAACTCGGGGCACAGTAGCATTCGTTTGGAAATACTTTAGTGAGAAGCCTACATTATTCACCATCGCCTCCTGTGCTGTAAACCTATCTGACTCGGTGTAAAGATGTTTGCAATCACAAGAAAACTGTGTCTACCCTTATCAAATATTCAGATACTAACGCCCTGAATTCAATTCCAGTTTAACTGTTTTGCGCAGACTGTTGGTGGCATATCGGCATTAACCTCTTTATTGAACCATTGCTGCGGTGCGGCTAATCAGATTCAGTGAGGTATAAATATCTGAGCGAATGTCAACAATGTTCTATTTTGTTTCTGTCTGGATTTGATGTTTTGGGGTTTTGCTCGCCGTGTATTTGGTTCAGCCTCTCTAAACGTAAATGGGCGGTAAACGCGTTGTGTTACTGGTTTTAATTTAAACCACTTGTATTTTATTTTATTTAAAATTCGTTTCCCATCGTAAGGAACACTCCTATACCAGCTATGTGGATTTTTTAAAAGAATAAATCCACTGGTTTAGTTTATAATTTACCAGCAGATATTTCTGTTAATCATTTTGATGTATTTCCCCGCTGACCGGCTCACCACTGGTATTTATTGCCACTCATACTGGAGCTTGTTGACATATTTGGAAACATTATGCTATTCCATCTAGATGTCCTGCCATGCATCTGTCTATGATTTAACCACTATCCGCAATATATTTGCTCGTCACTCCATATACGTCTACAATTACAAATCAGCCTACTGGCACCAGTGGCGTGTTGAAATATTGGCTGAGCATGTTACTCGGTAATATGGGAACTCTTGCCCGATACTTACCTGCATGTTAAACTTCAGCCATGCCAGTTATTTGACAGCACTTAGGGCCACATCTCCCCGCGGATTATTGGCGTGGAGTAGGAGTATTTAGAATTATAAGAGCGCCCGATATCAGTTTTAAAAACTGATTCAATACTGAAGTGGATACAAGAGGGCGGAGAGTACGAAAGGGTAACATGTCTGCCTTGGTCTTATACGCGGTAGGAAATCGGCTCGTGAGATTGGGTGCAAATGAAACTTACGCTGCAGCTTGTTCTGGTGCCTGTCACGTTGTCGCCAGGCATTAATAATTATCTCAGTTCCGGCTGGGGGTGGGGGAGGATGGCACAAACCGAGAGGTATGCTGGGTTCGGGAGTAGGGTGTTTGTGTGTGTGTCTGGAGGGGATGAAGCGAGACTTTCTCTGAGCTGATGCAGTGGAGCTGCGCGCTCTGGGACCTGCTCCTTCCCTCACTTACTCACTCGGCCTAGGAGAATCGGTAGATGATAATGAGGCCCCTTTTCTCATTGGGCGAGGTGGACAATCTGCGGGCGCTGATAGGGCGAGGCGGCTGTGATTGGCAGCTCACGGGCCCCGCCTCCTCCCGCCGCCCTGTGTGTGTTGGGGGTGGGTGTGACACGCGTGGAGCTGAGCCGCTTCAACCATGTCCCCCTCTCTTGCTGTTCACAAGTGCTGACAGATCAAGGCAACAAAATTCAATTACCAGCCCTAATTACGCTTAGAAAAAGAGAGAGAGAGAGAGTCCACCCGCGGCGTCTCCACTCCATGTCACTCCAACTGGCCCACTGGACAAGACGGAGCGCCCTTTTTTTTTCTCACTTCTCACTCCCTAACTTTCTAAACCCCATCACTATTTTCACTCAGCAGTAGGCATTGGATTCAGATTGGGAGTTTTTTTTTAGATTTGGGGGGGGTGGTAGGGAGGTGGAGGAAAGAAAACAAGTTCTGAAGACAAAAATCAGTCTCTCTCTCTCTCACACACACA